CTACCTTAAAGTGATCTGATGTTGTACAGAACTCACTGCTGAGTTAAGCATGGTTAGATCATACAAAGGTAGTACATGTTCTTGAATGTGAGCTACCTTAAAGTGATCTGATGTTGTACAGAACTCACTGCTGAGTTAAGCATGATTAGATCATATAGAGATAGTACATGTTCTTGAATGTGGGCTACATTAAAGCAATCTGATGTTGTACAGAACTCACTGCTGAGTCAATTTGACACTGAACACTCAAATTTTGACACTGCATGGTAAAATTTACACATATAGGTTAAAAATGTTGCAAAAATCAATCTCACGAGATGTAAACAATATTTCAGTACGAAGCGGAATTCTCACATATATATAATCACACATTTTATGCATGGTAGAGAATCAATTATCCTTGCTTCATGCGAACAAGTCAACATGATAACTGCGTGAATACCGCCCACACACTAATTACGACTCAACAAAATCTGTGTCTGTAGCCACACTAAACTATCACCCATGTGCAATGTTTAAGAATCTGACCGAGAACTTTTGTCTCAAGTAACGATTCTATAGTAATGTCAGGCTTTCTATTATACACAAGAATATAATACTAGTATATAAGATTTGAAACAATTCCTCCCAGTGACGCCACGATGATTTTGAATACAGCATACCTTGCACCCGGAGAGCGCGCCTTCGACAAACAGAGAGAGATTACTAAAGGAAGCTTATATACTCAAAACATTGCGGAATCAGAGATAATAAGCATAAGACTTAAAGTTGCAACGCTTTCTCGTCGACGGGGTTTTTGCTAAGCGCGCGGTAATGTACCAGTTAATTCTCATCAACTCTCATACAACGCTTGTCATCGTTGGATCGGCCGCCACGAGAGTTGAGAAAACTCTCATGAAATGAACTCTCGTCAACTACTCGCATTAGCGTTTAAAACTTTCACTGCTTGAAATTTATAGACTCGTAATTTAAGGTTGCCACGTACGCTTAAAATCGCTAGACCGTTCAAAGATTATCGAGAACTATCCATCACTAAAAGTCCTCATTTTATAAGACATTAATTAACTGCGTTGGGATTTATACAACAGTTTAAAGTTTAAACCAGCAAGAATCTATCACAAAGGACATGTATATTTCGGGACTGCTACCTAGCTACCATTAAAAACACTAAAACCGCTTAACGATAATAAGGTTAGCTAGCCATAATCTATACATACACTATATAGCTAATATCAATTTGAGCATCATTAGCTATCTTATGCGAGATCTTATGAGTTATATGAAAACTAATTAACTGTTTATAGTATATAAAATTTAGGTCAGCAAGAATATAAATGATATGCATTTCAAAATGAAGCATCACGTAGCTATATACACACCGTTAAAAATCAGCATTCCGAAATATTTGCTTCACATCATTAAATGCGTCTGTATAAAGACTCTATAAAGATCCAATCTTGTGTAATTTGTATGCCATTGTCGTCGGAATGTTTAACACTGCCAGTTTTTAGCCAACGAGTTATCAAAATACGCGAAATAGCGCGAAAATACAGACATATATACATACACTATGACATTCTATTCTTCTATGGCCATGCTAATCTTGTTACACGGTTAAATTTCACTCTAAACACGTTAATTCATGGCTTTTGAAAAGGCCCTCAAAGCACAATACAATGTATTTACAAATTTGTTAACCATGTAAACGTTTTGGTGAGAAAAGCTTTATTTCAAAACACAATGCTTTCACAGCAAAAGACAATACGGCATTATATGCAGGGCAAACAAATGATGTTGAGAAAATAGGAAAATAAGGCTTCTTTAGAATTAAGCGTGTAATACAGGGCCTATTAAATCTGTACCAAAACAAATACTGTCTACTCAGTCGAAGCGAAGCTTGTTGTTTGCAAAGAATTAACTGATTATATACTTTATGAAATTGGACTGCCATTTCGTTATAGAAAATTTGATTAATTCATTGAACTACTCTAAAAGAGCATGCAAGGTAAAATGGTATAGATTATATATATTGGATGATGTTCTCCAAGCGATGTTCACACCAGACAAGTAGAAAACTACTTGATCATGGTGGGATTTGTACTCAGGTAGATTATATATATTGACTGATTAGTGATGTTCTCAAACGAGGCAAGTAGAAAACTACTTGATCATGGTGGGATTTGTACAGCTAGGGTAAATTATATATATTGAACGATATTCTCCATAATTGATGTGGTGGGATTTGTACTCGAGTAGATTATATATATACACAGTATAGATGATGTTCTCCAAGCGATGTCCACACCAGACAAGTAGAAAACTACTTGATCATGGTGGAATTTGTATACTCAGATAGATTATAGGATAATGTTCTCCAACTGATGTCCACACCAGACAAGTAGAAAACTACTTGATCATGGTGGGATTTGTCAGGTAGATTATATATTGATTATTGATTGATGTTCTTAAAAAGATGTCCATGCAATAATGCCGTTTCTATCGATTGTACTCAAGTTATTCAAGACATCAGAAAGTATACACACTAAATTTACATATTTGATACAAAATCTTCTTAAATCCTAGCCAACTAAGCTGATATAGACAGTTATTAATTTAAGTGCCCTAGCATTTATAGCCATGATAAACGTTCTACGTATACATCGCTTAAAATGCTAAAATACATTCACTCCTATGCAATTTCAAATTAGCACTAAGAGCTGTGATTTTCTATTCAACTCTATTCAAAACATTTATCAGAAAACCATAGAAAATTGTGTATTTATTTTGACGCGGTATTGTCGAGCGGCTTGACAAAACAATATGTAAACGAATCATTATTTGAAAGCGTCACACGCGTTCTTTGTCTCCAAGGCAAATATCGCATTGTACGCTGTATCGATAGATTTCAATATATAGTTTCTCTTTTGCTTGTTTTAATGTTTGTATTCGACTGTAGAAACCACAATATTGTCTTTGTGCGCAGTTAAGTTCGAAAGAATGTTAGGTATATATATAAAATTGTATTGATAAAAGCCTGTTAAACGTTCGCTATTGAAATATCATTCCTGCAATCAATACATATACACACTACGGGATAAATACATGCATATATCCGTCGCATCGTGAAGTATTTTTGCAAAACCGAGGCATAAAATCCCAAGAAAATGACAGATCCTAATTCGCTTTCCCATTTCGCAAAGTTCAGTGTAGGCGATATATTAAATACATGCATCGTCATGTCAAAATTAGCTAGACTACATATTTAGCGAAAGTAAGGTTTAAAAACTACGCCTTTCTATGGAGATGTTTGTAAATACGTCGAAATCGCTTTCAAAGGAAAATTACAACTTTTAATTCAGGGTATGTGAAAAGATAAAATTGACTTGTTAGGAATCAGTTAGTAATAATATAATCAAAATATTTTCTATACATGGGTATCAGTTTAAATGCTCTAGCTGAATATATAGCTTTCAATAAAAAACACTATATTTATTTTAGGGCAAAATTAACTGCTTATGACATATGAGGTTTGAGCCAGGCAATAAATTATTGGCAATAAGTTTAATTGAATCTCGCTTGTTTGTGCCTGTCAACGAGAATTCAATTTCCGCTAAGCATTAGACCGAAACGTGCTTTGAAAGCCTTCAAACAATCTACTCAAAGATAATAGTTACACGCTTTCTGTAAGACACCAAACAAAATACATAATATTTATATGCTATGTCTAAAAAACTGTCTGAAATGTTAAAAAAGTCATAAAGCTTTTAGGGAAATTTTTGACAACTCATTTACCCCAATGGACAGCGCCAAAATGGCATGATATAAATTAATAAAAAAATTATCGGGTACACCAAAATTACTTCGGAAAGCATTTCAAAAGATCGTTGAAGCTTTATAAATATTTTTATCAACTCGGGAATCGTTCTTCTAAACGGTTCTCCAAAGATCGCGTTATTTTGGAATACTTTTGAAATAAGCCGAAAAAGCAATTAAGATTTTAGGGTACAGCAAAATATATAAATACCATAAATTTGTCGAGTCTGTCGAAAAACCCCCGCTGGGCGTTGCAAAAATCTGTACCGAAATGTAATACTTTTCACGGGAAAGTTTTGGAACTGGCTTTTCAAAGGGAGAGTTTTTCGGGCAAAAGTTTCGCGAGCTGGATTTGTTTTGAACGAATGTGATTTCGTTGAGTATAGCTGTCAGGGTTTAATTATGTATTCGAAGTCAATAACCCAGCGCGCTTTTGTTCGGGGCACATTATGAAGGCAATCGTTATGTTAATTAACATTTGAAAACGTGTATTGTGTTCAGTCAAGGGCTAAACGTTAAATAGCTTTGTTCGAAGCGAGCTTGCTCAGTCTTTCGTTTGTTTGCGATGTAAAGAGAGTTCAAAAGATCTGCTAACTATATTCTTTAACACATACAGAAGCTTGACAAAGGAAAAACAGTCGAGTTTTCACAACACTGGTATTGACACAACGGAAAGATATCGCCTCGCGTTAAGACGAAGGAAGGAAATTAGCCGAAGCGACAAGGATTAGCAGCGATTTATTTTAAGGAGAAATCTCGCCTCTTGCACTCTATCGCGTAACAGCTGTATCGAATTGCTTCGCGTAATCTCTCGTTAAAACGATTAAAAGGCAATCTGCACGAGCAACGTGGTTCACAGAGCGCCTGGACAGAACAGAAGTTACCAACGACCACAGACCTATAAAGTTTTCGCCGAAATTCAACACAACGCGTTCGCTGTTGTGAAATCGGAATCCCAAAGGTATAATTTAGAATTCTTCTACACTTGAAAGCTTATTGTTGAAGTTCAGCAGTGTTTAAATAGATTTAAACATACAGTTTAAGTATATTTCAAAAGCTAATTCGGGGACGTTTTATATTCCAGGAGATAGGTGGTGGTCACACGAAGAGTATTTGGTGAAAAATCGTCCAAGAAACTCGCTATTTTCCCGAGCATTTTGGAAGAAATTCAAGGCGGCAAAGTCGATCTCGAAGGCAGTTACTGTAGAACTTGAAGACGAAAGCTTGATCAAATATTTAATCGTGTTAAGTGATTTATCGTTAAAATGGCAACCACGACTCAGGCTGGTGTAGTGGCGACGAATGCCGAGCAAAATACGACGAAGTCCGAGCAACACATCAAGCGACCAATGAACGCGTTCATGGTGTGGTCACGTGACATGCGACGCAAGATGGCCGCCGAGCATCCGAGAATGCACAACTCTGAGATCTCGAAAGCCCTGGGTCTACAATGGCGCGTTTTACCCGAGAAAGAAAAGGTTCCGTACATCGACGAGGCGAAACGACTCCAAGCTGAACACAGCATTCGTCATCCGAACTATAAGTACAAGCCTCGACGCCGTAAACCGAAAGCGGTCAAAAAGGACACGCGTTTTCCATTCCCGTTCCCACCAACGGCCGATAATGGAGCCCTAAAGGTACCTGGTTATCCCCAAAGCATGCCCCCAGAAGGTATGTATCCATATTATCAAGTCCCTTCGACGACATACATGCAATATCACGACCCGTATCAAGCCGCGAGGCAAGCGACCTTCTATTCACAATCTCAAGGTAACGTTCATTCACCAACTGGGGTATCCCACGGCGATATAAGCCGCGATCTAGCTGGGTACAGACCTGACGTTGTACAAATGCACAGCGCACCACCTCATCTATACCCTATTGATCCCATCAACGTCCCCACACAAGCGACCTCGGTATACAGCGGTACCACGACGTCCCTGAGTAACCCCGCGATGGCAGTAAACAGCTCGAACTCAGAGAATCCTCAAATTCACTATCAGCAATATTTTGCTCAGAGACATATAAACTTATAGACGTGTTTAGTGTTTAAAAACTCTTTATCCTTGAATCGTTTCGTTGTAAGTAATACTATCAATCTAGCGTTTAATCGATGTCTACCTTTGGCGTTTGTTTAAGACTACATAGCGAGATTATTTATAACTCTATTTAAGGCACAAAAGATACTAAGCTAGATATATTTCTAATATTCGCTAGAGTTTGTGTGACATTATCAATACGACAGACATTTCGTATTCTCGACTGTCAATTACGAAAAACATTGCGCGAAAATTGAAATCCTCGAGACTTTATTGGAAGCTGGTGAAATTTATTTATAAGCCAATATTGGTGGACATGATACTAATTTAGTAATTTGTGTGTGTGAGTTTATGCTATAGTTATATAATTGTACAAGATATTATTTTTGTTACTGTCAGAAATTGTGTATAAATTTTACAAAATACATTAACTAATCAGTATTTCTACACTACGTCTGGCGTGATGAACTTAGAGATTAATTGCCAGAACGAGGCAAGCATGTTTAGTCTGCTGTGGATATTGCAGTCTTGTATTTTCGAAACAACTAAAAATAGAATTTATCATTAGGTATCCAACTTAAAGGCAAAGCTAGCTTATTTAGAAGAAAGCTGGTTTATACTATCGATTAATTTTTCTTTGATCAGATTGTGTTGGCAGTTTAAACCTCTTTCAAAGACTTACACTGGATTTACAGTATCGACATTTCTTTAAACAAAATGCATGACCATTGTAAACCGCTTTAAAAAAATCCGACCAAGCATAAATTTTACTCAGAAATCTTAGCTTATATTAAACGTTTACCGCAAGCTATGCACCAGTGTCGCCAATTTGTCGTTGGTCGCAGAAATGTCGAGAGTTTAATTAAATAGTTCCGCTTCCAACAAAATTACTTAAAATTCTAATAGCTGTTAAAAAGAATTTCCCTCTTAAGTCAAGTATGTTTATATATTTTGGCTACACGTACTCAAACACGCAAAACTCGTGGTGAATAGGCCATTAATCTAATTTGTCGACCGCATTTATGAGCCTACATTTATACGGCATTATGGCAACACTTTGAGACATAATCATTTAATACAACACAAGACCATTTGTTGAAATTACTTCTAATCTAACAATTTTATTGTGTAAATAGCATAGTTTAGACGTAGAAAATAGCTTTGTTTGTTTTGAATTGTGTATATATTTTTGAGAGCCGACGTGCTTAAGTTGAGAGCACTCATTAAATATTTTATTATTTATAAAGCGTGGAATTTTCGCCTCGTAATTTGCATTCCAATGTCCGTTGCCATATCAGTTTGGCAGCCTCAAATTGTATTGTCTTAAAAAGGGGAAAATGTGTTTTTAAATTCGCTTTAATTTGCGGAAACAAATTCGCTCAGCGGAATACCGGCTTAAAAGCTGTCGGGAAATTTAACAGCGCGTGCGTCGGATTTTTCTTGGCTATAACAGTATCACATAACTCGGCTGCAAATCTGTGTTACAAAGTCTCGCACGCACAGGAAGATTTCTCCGATTTTTTCGCCTCACTTGCGAGCGCTTTGCTCGCATGCAAGGCTCATAACCAAGCTCGTAATTATACCTGCCGACTACTTCATGTAGGCAAGCTCAGACATTCCAACCTCCGAGTCCTCAAAACCGGGGCACTTCCCAATTTTCCCTTTTTACTTAAATAAACGCCTCCCTCGAATAAATGCCGCGCTTTTCTCATTGATGATTTGATGTGGTGTCTATATTTTGGGTTAGTGTTAAAATTGGCTGAGTTGAGTTTGAATTAAACAATAAATTCACAGTGGATTACACTAACGTTGAAATCCATAAGTAATATAACATCTTCTCAGACAAGTTTTAATTTCATTGAAGGACTGTACTGGCGAAATTGTTTCGTTTTACTACTGGTCTTTTGAACTGTGATCCTCTGGTTAGCACTTTTTTCCATCCAGCAAACCGCCCTATCGATTTTGTAAAGTCGTTTCTTTTGGGTTTTTTTATTAATTCGGTTAGGGTTGAGGTTAGGGTTAGGGGTTAGAGTAGGGGTAGGGTTTGGGTTAGTTACATAGCCATTTAACACCTCTTCTATCTTGCAAAAATGACGTCAGGTCAGTTTGCTGGATGGAAAATAGTGCTAACCTGACCTCTTGTATTCAAGAGCCCGCGATTATTGCGCCCGCTTCTGTTACGCTGCTTTACTTCATGTAGCCCTGGCAAAATGAATAGGAATTGAAAGCGAACCGCTACATATTTGTCATGTCAAAACAACGTATTGTCACGAGAATTACAACGATCGGCGACAAACTCGGCAATTGTTTGGGGCAACTAGAAGCTCCCATTTCATTAATATGTATTGAACCAAACGAATTTCATTAATATTTGTCACATGAGCCTTATTTGAAGAATACAACTATTAAAATACTACAGAAACCGGGACAATAAGAAGAAAACCGGGACATCGGGACAACATAGTCCAAACCGGGACAGTCCCGGGTAAAACGGGACGGTTGGAATGTTTGCGCGTCTTGTGGAATAACGGAATTAAAACAATCGATACGATTTGTACAAAGTCACACAACTCTATTTCACACAACTGTACAAATCTCGTTACAAACCTTTCAATGGTTCAAGGCAATTACAAATTTATCTCCAAAAGGCGAAGTATAGTTGATGTTCACCGCACTGTAAATTCCTTTTGGTATGCCCAGATCTGCTAGGTACGTGCGACATTCGCTTGGTACGTCTATCTATAAAATATGAAATGAGGACCTCAGACAGATTGACAAACAATACGATAAACATCATTGTAAGTTTATGACAGACAGACAGAAATCAAAGCAGACAGATTTCATGCAGGGTCTTACATATATCCAATATATATTATAATAGTCCAGTAACATCGGTTTCTTAGTGAATCTCTAGCTGAGGGAGAACAGTTTTCTAGTAGAACTGATAGAGCTATCCAGTATAAATAAAGTTTAGTTTAGGTTTCCGCCTGTAGTAACACTGGATCAATAAGAGATCATGATACTTACTGGACCTTTAGGAAGAACAATTTAGAACTGATAGAGCTATCCAGTATAAATAAAGTTAGTTTAGTTTAGGTTTCCTTCTGTAGTAACACTGGATCAATAAGAGATGATCCTTACTGGACCTCCAGGGAGAACAGTTTAGAACTGATAGAGCTATCTACTGTAACTGTCAGTATGGTTGATGTAAAACTAAAATAAGTAAAAGATTACTTACAAGGGGTAGTCCAAACGATAATGACCACTTTGATTCCACTCCTGAAAGACATTGTTGGGATTTTTTAATGCTCATGCTTACAAGAGTAAATATACTGAAGAAGGGCAACCATCCACCCCACCCCCCACCCCCCCGCCAATAATTTCTAAAGCCTTTGAATACTTGCCGAATAACTGGGTATAACAAAGCTGGAACAATAATTTTTTTCAAACACAAAAGCATTGGTGGCTATAAATTAAGCTAAATATTTAAAAAAATTTAAGGCAAAAAATTTAAGGAACAAAGGTCATATGTTGGCAACCTAAATCCCCCCCCCTCCCCCCCCAAAAAATTTTGCGAAGTTTGTCCGCCATTGCGATAGTGTTGGTAAAATAAGGATGCGAGAGTTTACACGAGAGTTAACTCAACTGTCACAGAAGTAGCCTGCATGACAGGCGGCTCCTAAAATCGGGCAAGCCTGCTATCATAGAAGCAGCTCGTTGAAGAAAACTGTCTAAACTGTGGCCCTACGTTTACAAACGATACCCACCCAGCATTCTTGATCGAGAGCAAGGGTCTAGTAACAAGACCGGTGCTTTATTGTCATTGGCCCATTGATTGACTGACGTCAGCTGGGGTGACATTTGATTGGTGGATTCCTCTTCCGGTGAAAACAGCGCGTGAATGACGAGATCTACGGGCTCATTAGGAAGATCTGAAAATGAATGACGATGCGTTTACATGATGACACTACGAATGTGTCTGTGTGTGCCGTTGTTTGTCAGCCCGACAGAACTTATAGTGAAAATACAAGAACCTTCCCATTTCTGTTTCTGTAGTCTGTTGCCATTTTTCAGTCATTTTGCATTACGCGCACGGGAAATTGATACCGCTTTCTGAAAAAAGGTATCAATTTCCCGCGCGTAATACAAAATACAGAGTTTTAGCTTGACGTTTATGGCAAACGTCAAACCGCTAACGAAGTTTTTGATTTTACAACTCTATTATAACAGCTTTAACACCAATTTTGAAATATAAACAATTATTAAACTTGTGCTCTTTAGCAATGATTTAAAAGAAAGCAAATTAACCACTAGTCACGTATTCGCGAAAGCAGTAAAATATGATTTGGCGTTTGAAGTTTACGTTTGGCGTATAAATTTCATGCTTTAACGACTACACAAGCCCTCATAGCAGTTCAAGCATGAAATTTATACGCCAAACGTCAACTTCAAACGCCAAATCTTAATTTACTGCTTTCGGGAATACGTGACTAGTGGTTAATTTGCTTTCTTTTAAATCATTGCTAAAAAGCACAAGTTTAATTTTTGTTTATATTTCTAAATTGGTGTAAAAGCTGTTATAATAGAGTTGTAAAATCAAAAACTTCGTTAGCGGTTTGACGTTTGACGTTAAACGTCAAGCTAAAACTCTCTATATAATGACTGAAAAACGGCAAACTTCGCAGTGATATATTATCCGCATTTTACAACATTTCGCAACGAAACTTGGGAATATTACTAATTTTGTGATGCTCTTTCAAGCTGTGATGAAATTTTTGTCTAGACTTGTTTCGATCAAAATTTTGTTCATTAGGGAATAGGTCTATTATATTAGATGAGAAATCAGCAAACATTTGTCTTGCTTTGCCAAGCAAAATAAACTGAATACGTAATTAGTAACAATGTATAATTTATGAATGATAGATAAATTAATTTGTTGGCGAAAGTATGCGCATTCTCAGAGTTCTTCGAAAGAGGTTTATGCCTGGTTCACACTGGTCGTAAGAATCGGGGATTTCCATTGTCTGTGATCATTGGTGTGTAAAATGCTTTGTGTGTCGGAAAAGAATACAATGGATCGCAAATGAATTACGACCAGTGTGAAGCAGGCTTTACGCTATCGTACACTTTTATCTATAAGCATTATTTATTTCAACGAACAACGAACAAAATTCAGAGGTTTAATGAAGGTTGTATACCCTACCTGCGACGTTTGAAATAAGTTTTGAACCAGTATGAAAGAACAACGCAAGATGTTGGACAAGAATCTGAAAAAAACAGTTAGGAAAATAAGAATATACTTAAACGAGGTGAAATTACTGCAGGTACCACAGAAAAACATTTGGAACTTTAGAACAAAAAACAAACAGTGTAATTCCAGAACAAAGGGGGTGTATAGGAATATGCCACACATACCTCCGTTTTTACTGGGACTGACAAGGTTACTTGAACCTAAAATTATCATTAGATTCATGAAGACCACTTTACTTATTTCGGATAGTTCTATCAGTTCTAAATTATTCCTCCTTGAGGTCCAGTAAGAGTCATCTCTTATTGATCCAGTGTTACTACAGGAGAAAACCTAAACTAAACTAACTTTATTTATACTGGATAGCTCTATCAGTTCTAAATTATTCTTCCTTGAGGTCCAGTAAGAGTCATCTCTTATTGATCCAGTGTTACTACAGGAGAAAACCTAAACTAAACTAACTTTATTTATACTGGATATAGCTCTATCAGTTTTAAACTGTTCTTCCTAGAGGTCCTGTAAGGGTCATCTCTTATCGATCCAGTGTTACTACAGGAGGAACCTAAACTAAACTAACTTTATTTATACTGGATAGCTCTATCAGTTCTAAATTGTTCTCCCTAGAGGTCCAGTTATAAGAGTCATCTCTTATTGATCCAGTATTACTACAGGAGGAAACCTAAACTAAACTAACTTTATTTATACTGGATAGCTCTATCAGTTCTAAACTGTTCTTCCTAGAGGTCCTGTAAGGATCATCTCTTGTTGGTCCAGTGTTACTACAGAATGAAACCTAAACTAAACTAACTTTATTTATACTGGATAGCTCTATCAGTTCTAAACTGTTCTTCCTAGAGGTCCAGTAAGAAACCAATATATGTATATATCCAACAACTGTGAACAGTCTACTCGGCAGACGAATCATATAGATATAGCAAACAGGTTATATAACACGACTACAAGGAAATTATAAATTTAATAAAAAATTCTAGAAACTTTATTAAAATATTAAATTATAATATTTAGCTTCTGACAAAGGCGGTGAAATTTGCAGTTTTTATTGGACGATTGGCTATATACATAAAGCCGTTACTATGGTGCCTGATAATAGTTTGCGCCAATCCGCGTAAACAACGCTCAAACTTTGAGTTTTTATTGGACGGTTGGCTATATACATAGAGCTGTTACTGTGGTTCCTGATAACAGTTTGCGTCCATCCGTGCACCTATGTATAAACAACGCTCTAACTTCGAGTTTTATTGGACGGTTGGCTATATAAATAGAGCAGGTGTATGAGGTTTTAAATGTTTATATGTACATTTTTCAAAGCTTGATGCGTTCATTCGGTGTTGGTAGTCTCTTTGAGGATATCTATCGGCAGATTTAGTCCGCAAAATGGCGCAAAATGAAGCACATATTTTGGAAATTACCCAAGATTTACGACATTTAAGAATAAAAAGAAATGCAGGGAGAGTACTTGACAGCACGTATCTATTGGAAATGCCATTTAATTTAACTGACGAATTCTACGATGATTTCAAAGAAAAATTGGAAACAAATGTTTATACTGATACTCCAACCCTACAACACTACAGATCTCCGCGAGACCTTGCCAGCATCCTCGTGGAAAAAGGAGATGCGACTAAAGCAACAGTGCAAAAACTTTTTGAAAAACAGTACGAATTGAAATGGCACACAGCAACCGGGGATCCTGATCAGTTTAGTTTCTATGGATTTTGTAAAGACATAGATCCAGCTAATACCAATAACGTTAGGACGTATCAAACAAGAAGGGCACACGTGATTTCAAGGCTCTACTACGCACAGCAACAATTGCTTGAAATTCGTCGTCTGACTTTCAAGAAACTTTGTCCCCCTGTTTATGTCCGCACGAGAACGCAAATAAACAAAAAGAGCAGCAAAGGAAAGGGTGGCAAAGGAAAGGGCCGGAGTTACCGGGTAACTTGGAGAAAATGGAAATGGGATAATAATGCATTTACATCGAATAACAAAAATGTTCACATAGACTGGATATCAAACGATCAGCTAAAAACATATATTACGCAAAATTCAAAGATACATGATAGTGGAAGTTTTCCCAATGAAAGCCAACTTTACTGGGCAGTACTTGAGGAAGACGACTTCGATAACGAGGATGAGGACGATGAGGATGATGACGAGGGGGAGGACGAGGTGGAGGACGAGGGGGAGGACGAAGGGGGGGACGAGGGGGAGGACGAGGACGAGGACGAGGATTTCGGAACACAAGTATATGTCGGAAGGGCAAAGAAGGGTATCAAAAACAGATGGGTGACAGGAAGCAAGTCACATTGTAAGAGAATGGAGTTCGCGCGCGATGTTATGTGCGGAATGGTAAATTATAATCCGACCGCCCTACGACCGGAACAGTTGGTTGATCTACGATTCTTGCTTCACAAAGCTTGTAATAAGGGTGGTAAAAATAGCGGGTTATTTATAATGCACTATGAGGGAGACCTGGATACAGCAGAACGAAACAACATAAAAGGTAAAACAATTAATGGTGAGGAGAATATTGTGTCTAATCATTGGAAACCAAAAAACATGAAGTATGGAATGAATGGACGTTAATTAATCTATTTACAATGGGTATAAGGGACACTGCTCCCAAGAAATAATCTAACGAGATAAAAATAAGACGGTGTTGATTTAAAAGAAGTGTTGGCCTATTATCTAAAGCTTGACACCAGGATAAAATAGATATTTTAAAAAAGATGTATTATGTATAGGTTATAAACCGAGAAAGGGGGTATAAACTTTAATCTAATTATTTATTCACGTGTTATAACCTGTATATATCCCGCGGTACATCAAAGAGAACCGACTCAACTAGTAAATTTCACTGACTGAAATTTGCGTGTTAAATTAAACCACCTTGCAATTCCATTCCCAAATCTAAATAATAATGTTTTCTCTGAAATGTTCGTTTTTATGCGTAACATATGATTTATATCAAAATGCACCATCAACACAGTATTTTAAAAACCTAAAGCTTTTTACAAAATATGTTCTCAGAATGCTGCAAATGCCATTTCCGGGATTCAAATTTTAAAAATTTTCCCGGGGAGGGGGGCATGCCCCCGGACGTCTTTAGAATTCTCGTGCCGAAAGCACGAGCGGAGCCCTCCCGAATATTTCATAAAATGTCCGCCACTGGTGCAAAGTCTCGGAAAATATTAGTCCAACAAAGGAGGAATAAAAAGAGAACACACACTATCAAATAGGCAAGTAAATTTCATTTTAAAATTTATATTTTATGACATATTTTTACTATAATATACATTACTATACTAACCCTTGTGAGATTGGACCGCCTGTGATCGAACAAGCATTTTTGACAATGCTATAAAATGGCCTATTAAGTTGAACCTGCATGGATAAGCTTGCTATCGCTTTAGTTGTGGTAATATTTCATCAACTGAAAAAAAAGCTTGTCCTAAAGTCCATTGCCTCTTTTTGGTGACATGCAGAGTGTTTACTGCCAATTCGATAGTTTGTTAATGCGAAAGCTTCAAGTCACGATATTGTCTTATATGTTTCTTAGGTGCATGTTTGTCATTTGTTTGTGCTTTAATTTCCCAAAGTTAAGAAATATCAACAAAACTGTAAAGACTATGGCTTGCGAGGCTGCAAAATTGAAAACTCAATGGGAAATGATTTAGTTGGCTTCAATGAAATACCCAATAATCATCAGCGAATGGCAACTGTACTGAAATTAGTTTAATAGGCCATTTTATGGACATTTTTAAATTTGTTAATAATGCTTGTTCGATTTAAAACATTGATGTCTCAGTTAATACTGCATAAAAATCTTTGTTGTAATATATCAAAATTTAAGTTAGCCCTTTCAGGATACGATAAAATTTATTTGATCATGATATATAGCTGCAAAAACTAAAGATTGGCCAAATTATGGGATTTCACGAAACGCTTCGTTATAAAACTCCCCAAGCGTATGTGCCACCAGACGAAGGGTGGGCATATAATTAAGGTTTCGTAGAAACATACGAAAGAGACGGAAGCGCTGTGTTTCTTTATTTAAATCTCAATCTAAAATTGTTTGTCCAGATTTTGGCAAAGTTATGAGGTTCAACAGAACCCTATGGGGTTCGATTTGATTTTAATATTTTTCATATTGGAGAAAACGGGACCCCACCCTTCATATACGATAACCTAATTTGCTGCGTGTTTGGCATAGGATGATTTAAAATTGGCATTGAAATACTTATATTTTCAATGTATAAGAAACTTCTTCAGAAGCTTATTTTTGGACGCTTAGGTGAACAAACTGTTTTCGTTACTATGATTCCTGATAACAGTTTGCGTCCATGTCTATTCACCTGTGTAAACAACGCTCTAACTTCGAGTGTTTATTGGACGGTTGGCTATATACACAAAGCAGTTGTATAAGGTTTTAAATGTTTATATGTACATTTTTCAAAGCTTGATGCGTTCATTCGGTGTTGCTAATCTCTTTGAGAGTATCTATCGGCAGATATAGTTCTCAAAATGGCACAAAATGTAGACGGAAATGAAGCATCACATATTTCGAAACTTGTCCAAGATTTACGTCGTTTACGAATACACAGAAATGCAGTGAGAGCACTTGGCAGGTCATCTCTATTGGAAATACCACTCCCTTTAACTGACGAATTCTACAATGCCTTAAGAGAAAAATTGGAAACAAATAGTGTAAATGCCGCTAATTTTCCTGTTCGACAATACAAATCTCCGCGAGACCTCGCCAGCATCCTCGTAGCCAAAGGAGATGCGACTAAAGCGAAGGTGCAAAACCTTTTTGAAAAACAGTACGAACTGGAATGGCACACAGCAACCGGAGATCCTTATCAGTTTAGTTTCTATAGATTTTGTAAGGACATAGTCGACGCCGGAGGTGAAAACGTTATGACGTACAACACAAGAAGAGCACACGTGATTTCTAGGCTCTACCACGCACGGCCACAATTGTTTGAAATTCGCCGTTTCACTTACAAAGAACTTTGTCCCCCTGTTTATGTCCGCACAGAGACGTCAGCGAACATCAGCAAAAAGGGCAGCAAAAAGCAGGTCAGCCAGGTTACGTGGACGAAATGGGAATGGAATAATAATGCATTTAAAGTGACTGCGACAAATGTTAACATAGACTGGATATCAAACGAGAAGCTGAAAGATTATATTACGAAAAATTCAAAGCTATGTGATAGTAGAAGCTTTCCCAATGGAGAGCATCTTTACTGGGCAGTACTTGAGGAAGACGACTTCGATATCGAGAAGGAGAAAGAGGAGGAGGAGGAGGAGGAGGAGGAGGAGGAGGAGGAGGAAGAAGACTTCAGAACGCAAGTATATGTCGGAAAAGCATCGGGTGGTATCAAAGACAGATGGACAGGGAGCAAGTCACATTGTAAGAGAATGGAGTTTGCGCGCGATGTTATGTGCGGAATGAGTAATTATAATCCGACTGCCTTACGACCGGAACAGTTGGTTGATCTGCGATTCTTGCTTCACAAAGCTTGCAATAAGGGTGGTAAAAATAGCGGGTTATTTATAATGGACTATACGGGAAAGCTAAATGAAGCAGAAACCAATAACATAAATGGTAAAAATCGACAGAGAAATATTGTATCTAAAAAATGGAAACCAAACGACATGAAGTATGGAATGAATGGGTAAGGATACTGCCCCCCAGAAATAATATACAGTAAAGAGATAAAATCTATGTTGGAATTAGAACCATGTTGATTACATTTTTATGACGGTGTTGATTTAAAAAAAGTGTTGGCCTATTATTTAAATTTTGACATTACGTTAAGTTAGATATTTTAAAAAAGATGGATTATATATAGGTTATAAACAGAGAAAGGGGATATACAACTTTAATCTAATTATTTCTTCACGGATTATATATAACCTGTACACGTCCTGCGGTACATAAAAGAAAACCAATTCGACTAGTATAAATAAGCATTCAAACACTCATTAATAATTGATAAGCTTATTGGCAAATCATGTGAACCATAATATGTCACGTGCAGTGGCTTTAAACCTGATAAAACACTCCTAATTAGTATTCTTTATATAATGAATACTAATAAGGCAGTATCTATTGTAGTCGTGTCCTCATTAGTATTCTTTATATAAAGAATACTAATAAGGGTAGGCAGTATATCTATTGAATTTGTAGTCGTGTTTGAAGCCGTTTAATAAACTCGCAGGTCGTGTTTTATTAGGTCTAAAGCCACTCGCGCTGCGCGCTCGTGGCTTTAAACCTAATAAAACACTCCTGCTCATTTATTAAACAGTACTTAATACTATACATGGTGATTATTGAACACTCATTAATAATTCATAAGCTTATTGGCATATCATGTCAGCCATAATATGTCACGTGAAGAGGCTTTATACCTGATAAAACTCATCTTCATTAGAATACTTTATGTAACGAATACTAATAAGGGACCGGCCATTATTTATGGCGGGGGGGGGGGGTGGCACCGAAGAGAAAATGGTTGGGTAAACTAAATTTCGAGTGAGTAAAAGGTTGGGTAAATGAAAAACAAAACAACTCAACGGTTGGGTAATAAAAAGTTATAGTCATATGTCAATACAATATGTGAATCAATCAGTCACTGTCTTGATCATTTTCCAATTTGTTAGAAGACAAATGGTGTCTCCAAAGAAAGAACATGTGCAGACAACATGATACATTAGACTGCAGCAAATTTCACAAGCAGTTATCAAACTCCTGTCACAGATATCGGGTAAAGGACATATGTGGCAACTGAATAGTAACCTTTTGCAAAGTTTAATTTTGGCCAGGGGTGAGTATTTATTTTTTACTTGATATTTGAGGTTGGGTAATCAAATTTTTGACTTTTTAATGGTTGGGTCAGCAAAATTTTTGCCACGAAAAACATTTCTCTTCGGTGCCCCCCGCCATAAATAATGACCAGTCCCTAAGACGGCATCTATGCATGGTAGTCGTATTTTGTCCCGCAAGTCAAAAGAGGAACGCTTCACGTAGTTTACCTGTAATAGTAAATTTTAGGGTTCGGTCGTATGGAATTCTGCCGATGAAAACATCAAGTGCCTTTACATTTTCCTCTTTCATTCTCCTCTATTTCCATTCAAATTTCTGGGAACAAATGGTCCCGCGGTCCGATAATTTTTCTATACCCTTATTAACACACTACAAAAATTGTGTTCGATACAAGACGGCTAAAATAAACATACCTTATGATTGGCTAGATGTCTGGCTGCGCAAATCGCTTGAATACCGACATTATTAGGTCCAGCCAAGATCACGACATGCGGTACTTGATGAGCATTTCTTCGGGTAAGACGGTTACTCCCACCTAAGAAAATAAATATAAATACTAAGATTAAAATTTGTGTCTACAAAAAGTAGCGGTATATGCTGTTAAATTATACAGCTGCGTAAAAATCTCCCGACTTGTCAACAGGATGTGTTCGCACTGCTTGTTCCCAGTTGTTGACAAGTCTGGAACAAGTTGTTATCATCTTGCAACAAGGTTGATGAGGCCAACAGACTCGCAACAAGTTGTTCCAACAAGTCTGATATCGTCTGCACGTAACAAGTTGTTAACAAGTTGATGACAATAAGCTCGTAGCAACTTGTTACGAACAGCCTGTATTAGTCTTGTTGGAACAACTTGTAGCAAGTCTGTTATCGTCATAATAGATACACACGTAAAAACGCACAAGTTGTTACAGGTCTGCAAACAAGTTGTTACATTATTATTATTATTATTATTATTATTATTATTATTATTATTATTATTTTACAAATACGTTCACAAGCTGTCAACAAGTTGTGTTCGCACTGCTTGTTCCCAGTTGTTGCAACAAGTTTGGAATAAGCTGTTACCAACTTGTAACAAGCTTGATGGCATTATCATACTTGTTACAAGGTTGTTCTAACAAATCTGATACAGTCATGATATAACAAGAATGTTACAAGGTTGACGACACAAGGTTGTAACAGTACTGTTATATCATGACTGTATCAGACTTGTTAGACCACCTTGCAACAAGTCTGATAATATCAACAAGGTTGTTACAAATTGTTAACAGCTTGTTCCAAACTTGTTGTCAACTTGGGACAAGCAGTGCGAACACAACTTGTTGACGGCTTGTTGGCAGACTTGCTACAAGATGTCAGATTTTTGCGTGTATAGTCTTGTCACTGTTCACAAGCCTAGAACACACAATGAAAAGAATTACGGAAATTATTTTTCCACTCCGATAGCAACCACGGTTGATAGCAACCATCGCTGCGCTTTGCTGCATGAGAGCCGATGGAAGATTCAACGATTACCTACCCACAAGTTGAAGAGCCATTTGACATGCGCACACGCCAGCATTTTCGATCCTCTGGGATTCGCTAAAACCCATGTTCTCTGAAATATGTTTAAAATATCAACATTTGTTGGCATCTCACTCGATTCAATAATAGTTGAAGTACTATTTAAAAAACGAGCAGGAGTGTTTTATTAGGTTTAAAACCACGAGCGCGCAGCGCGAGTGGCTTTAGACCTAATAAAACACGACCTGCGAGTTTTTTAAATGGCTTCAAAAACGTTTGCATAATAAGTCAAATCTTTATATAAAAATCTTTATATAAAAATCTTTATATAAAAACCTTTATATAAAAATCTTTATATAGTTTGCATAACAATGGTCTTTTGTCAAAGTGTTCTTTAGCTGGTATAAAGACGTATGCACGTGACTAATTTCTTACTCAAGATTGGATAATTGCTTCATGAATTATTATGAGTTTTTAAAGTACTATTTAAAACACGAGCAGCAGTGTTTGATCAGATATGAAGATACGAGACGAAGCCGAATATCTTTAGGTCTGATAAAACACGCACTGCAAACGTTTTAAATTGCTTCAAAAACGATCGATCTAGTAAGTTCATTGACGAAGTAATTTTCAAAAAATACGTTGTGTAAGTCGAGAAAATCAAAGTTAAAGTTTATATAAATCAAGGGAAATCTCTATCACATATAAAGATACGACACGCTTATGATTTTTCTTTGTGTTTTCCTCATGAATTATCACAGTAAAAAGTTTTTGAAAGTTATTGTATAGATAAAAATTATCGAGTAAAAAAATTCATTATATAGAGAATAATACATGGGTGCGCGGAAATACCAGATTTATTTCGAGTGTTGAACATGATTGTATAAAGGACAGTCTTTGAAAGCGATCATTTTTACAGAAAAGTGATAATTGAAAAGCGATAATTTTCACTGTTACGTTCACCGTAACAAGAAAGACTTAAAAATAGGTACGCGACCGCGTACATGTATCTGCGCATTAAAGGTCCAGACACGCCGGACGCGATTCGACAACGCGACGCGATTTTTCGACTTTCACTGACCGATAACTTTGATCCAAGTTTAAATTTTCCAAATATTTAGAAGCGCTATAACATTTTAAGTTACTTGGTCTACATATGTTTCAAACTGATTTGCTCTCATTGGCTGTTTTTCAAAAACTGAAAAATCGCGTCGCGTTGTCGAATCGCGTCCGGTGTGTCTGGACCTTAAGGCCTGATTCCACGACGGCGACATTCGTCGCGAGAACTTGTGTCTGCGAAATACGGTGGTTGCACATGAGCGATTATATTGAATTGTCCCACTTTGTCCCCTTTCGCAGTAAGTAGAAATGTTTCGCATTTCGCCGAGAAGAAACGCTCGTGGAATCAGTCCTTTACTGCATTGATGTTGCATTCTCGGAATTACATTTTTACAGCAATTGTGCGAAATTGTGCTAGTTGAAATTATATGCCTGCTTCAGATATAATATTTACATTTAACCAGTGACTTCTAAATTAAGAGGACGAGAACCATTTATATCCCGAATCACGGCAACCGATTACATCATACAAAAATGTTTCTTTTTATCTGGAGCTAAATATCTGCTATTCATACAGTTCATTACTTTTAAAAACAATTTAAAGAAAATAATTAATTAAGGCTGTAAAATGTGTGGATTCAAAGACGTGGGATTAGACGTCTGTACATGGAGTCATGAGCTAATAATAGTTTCTGACATTTAAAAGAACAGGGCTACGTTTATACTATACTTTGTTTTTATAGTTTAGCTAAGTTTCAGAGGCCTCCATTAAATAACAGTCAAGATATACACGCAAATATAATTTGCTTGTCTATATTTAAAATTTGTAATTGTTTCGTGAAGATTCAACCGTAAAACAATTGCCGGAAGTGCAAGCCCTGATTATAAAAACTCAGGGAAAACCCGTGCGTGGCGTAAACATGTCAATCAAATATCATTCTATAAATATGACGTTTTATATTTGCACAGTACATCGTGTACGTTTTTGTCGTAGAACTTGTGTTGTTCAAATCGAATATGAAGTAAAATCAGGAGCATACTGTCACAGGCTAATTTTGTATTTTAATACCCTCTGGAAATACAAAGGCTTTGGTACCCCTATCTATCACAAAATGTAACAAATCCAAAACAAAGTATGAGGACTAATATTTTTCCTATCATTTGACAGATTAAAAGTATTATTCAAGAAATATGTCCATTTTAATCATAACGTGATACAAAAATACTAAATAACATGCAAAATTCAGTGCCAAAGAGGGATTTATTTTGCGGTAGTTAAATATGTAAACATATGTTCTCAAACTGACAGAGTTTAATACCAATTAAAGCTCGCAATGCTATATATTTGGTTTGATACGAAGATAAAATAGTAAATACTCATAATAATTACAATATGTCCATGACCTTACTCAAAAATTTAGATTATTAAATCACATAATGGAACAACTTGCAATTTGCTACGCCCACTCGTTAGCAATATTCTCTTCAACACTCGAAATAAATTACATATTTCCGCACAACCATGTATAAATATTCTCTATACATTCCAGTTTACCTTTAATTTGTCAAGTGGTAGGCAAGATATTAGTCCTTTTGATTTGTTATTCTCTTGACCCAACATGGGAGTGATAGGAACTTGAAAAAATGACAGTTGCATACTTGCGTGTAATTTGCTCGGAACAATTTGCAATCAACATTGCAAGATTGATTGCAATGTTGCAATACTCATGGGAACAGAACATCCGGTTTGACTGTAAGAGTTATATCAGTGCAAGACTGCTATAGAAGAAGATTTTATCAAAATAAAGTCAGGATAAAGTCTATTAATACCACGATTAATACTAATACTTCTCTTGAAAGATTTCGAAAGACGCCATCTTGTTTTAAAGCTGTTCTAGCCTGTGAACAGGTCTTCAAAACAAGGCTGACGGACTTAACGAGTTAACAACTTAACTTACTTACTTTACTTTACTTCACTTTACTGACTGACGCGATAGCAATATATCTGCGCTATGCGCAGATACAAAAATGAAAAACTTGCATGTAAACCGTAATGACAAAAATGATTACAAGGTGCCCCCGGCAATCGCCTAGTGGTTGGTCTTCAGAACAACCCTCATTTAAATACAACCATTTGGTTAAAAAGGCAAACTCTTGCACCATAAAGCTATATTAGTTTACAAATGTCTACATTCTTTAGTCCCGAATTATTTTTTAAATTATTTTAAGAAATTTAGTAATGTACATAGCTACAATACTAGACACAAAAATAGGCTAAAACTTCCCAAAGTTAAATATAATTTTGGAAAAAATACTTTTATCTTCAGTTGGGTGCAGGTTTATAATATGCTCCCTGATCATGTGATGAAGGCTGAGTCCATTCACACTTTCGCACGTCTCGTATGAATTGTGTGTAATGAGCTTTCTTATTGATGTGGAACATGGAAGTGACGGAACTGATTGCAACAATATTTTGTACTTTTATATATCATACCTTAAAATGTAATTCCTATAAATAGCTTATATCTAAACACAGGGCCCCTATGGATACCAGCCTTCACGCAGAAAGGGCCACCCTGTTTAAATAAAGTTTTTCCATTCTTGGGCGTTTTGCTGCTGGGTTTGCATTAAACATAGGTACGTTGGGAATTTTATTTCTTGTCGCAGTTCCTACTATCTATAAAAGTTGAAACATTGGTATTTATAAAGTTCAAACGTCTCACTACATGCAGTATTAGTTGTTGAAATGTATGGTTAAACCTATAGGCTTATAGCTATAGCTTTCATTCAAGAGAATCTTCTATAGGAACAGACATAAAATAAGCTCTCATTAGGAACTAACTTTCTTGTCTGTTCCTATCCTGTTCAAGGTTTTCCTGTATGGAAGTTAGCCTTCGGTGGTTCTTACAATCATTTCCGCCCATAAACCACACTTGTATGCTGGGAGATTGTTGCTGTGTATCTTCTTTATCTCTTCCATTTCATAGAGCAATTTTTCTTCTTTGCTAGTTGTTTGAGTCGTCATATTCCAATAGAAAATTAAATAACTAAAATAAATCAATATACAAGTTGTATTTTGGAATCTTGTCCCTTCATGACTGTTAATTGTGGTTAACTTGATTAGTCATGCTTTAACTTGATTACCAATTGATTCCTTGGCAAATTTTAATAAAATCTTTAAATGAATTGGTCCAATTTTACCTTCAGCATCTCTCTTAACTTGTTTATTTGGCACTTTTTGATCAGGTTGTTTGGTGAGTTTGACGCTGTATCTATCCAAATTTAGTAGCCGGCTCTGAAACTATTGTATGCGCTTTGCAGCTCAGCGT